GACTTTAATGGTTCTCAAATTATATTTACAGACACTATAATGTACTATAATATTGTGTATTATAATAAAATAAAATAAGAAATATGCAAATTATTTATATATATATATATATATATATATATAGCATATATACACTGCATGAAATATAATACATGTATGTTTGACAACAATTACAGTCCATTGTTGGTACACAAGTGTGTTTTTCACCTCTTCCATGAGTCTTTGTTTGAGTTCTCTCTCCGTCTCGAGTTTCTGCTGAAGGCTCCTTGCGTTCATCTCCAGCATGGCATGTTTCTTCTCCAGGTCATTGAGCTGAAAACAGCACAACACCACAATAAACAGCACATTTAAACAGCACAGCCTCTCCTGTCTGAGGGAACAGAAGGTTTTGTTAATGCGCAGCGACGTGTTCATGTGCACCGCAGTGTTTAATTAATCTCCATCAGCTGTAGCGCTTAATCGCGGTTTGTTAAATCCAATATTGGCAGGAATATTAATATCGCAGACGGAGGGCCGGAGCGAACCAGGACAAACTGTTGCGAGTGTGTTTGTGTAACTCACAGTATCAGACAGACTTTCTGCTTTCAGTCTCTGCTCTTTCAGTGCCTGCTGCAAAGCCACGATCTCAGCATTGTGTTCGCGGACCGCCAGCTCAACCGCCTGCCGAGACTCTGTACTGCGCTGATCCGCTCGCAACCTGGAGGAACAGGGTCGAGTCAAGCCACAATACTACAGAAAAATTATATTTACATGCACTAGCATTCAAAAGTTTGGAGGCAGAAAGATTTTTAATGGTTTTAATAGATTTAATTGATCAAAAATACAGTAAAAATTGTGAAATGGTTAATAACGGTTTTCTATGTGAATATACAGTCAAACCAAAATTTATTCAGACACCTTCAACATTTCTCACATTATCACAGTTTATTGGCTATAGTTTAGAAAATGATAATAAAATATGACAAGAACTGTGTCAGAACAAATTCATCTTGATGATGTCAGATAACTTTGATAGAAAGGTATGTAATAGATTACAATCAACCAAAATCAACCAATTACCAAGCAATGCTTAATTTTGTTCAGTCTGTGGTGTAAAAAGATCACATTAGCAATTAAAGAAAAAACACTTCAGCAAAACATGCTCAGGTCAAAGTGTCTGAATCATTTTGGTTAAATTTTTCAAACTTCAGGCTTTTACAACTGTTTTAAACTTTAAGGCTAGGCTTTCTCAAGCCAACTTAAAGTTTGTATTGACGAACTTTTTTTTTTATCTAGTCTGATTTGCTGCTCAAGAAACATTTCTGATTATTATCAATGTTGAAAACAGTCGTGCTGCACAATATTTTTGTGGAAACCGTGATACATTTTATTTTTCAGGATTCACAGATGAATAAAAAGTTTAAAAGAACAGCGTTTATTTGAAATGGAAATCTTTTGGAACATTATAAACGTCTTTATTGTCACTTTTGATCAATGCTGACAAACTCTATTAAAGGACACACTTGAAGTAAATAATCGAAGGTAATGTTTGTGACTTGTGCTTACAGCACCTGTTCTGCTTCTCGTTGTCCAGCAGTCTCTGCATGTCTCTGGTTCTGCGCTCCGCCTGGCTCTTCTCATCCTCCAGAGCGGATCTCCAGTTCTCCCACTGTCTCTCCTTCTCCAGCAGCTCATCGTTCAGACTCTCCAGCTCCACCACCTGCTCCTCCAGCATGCTGCATGTGGTCTTCAGAGTCTCGATGTTCTGCAAACACAAAAACACAGTCCTATAATACGCCTCAGTATAGTACAAACATCCAGCTTCAGCTGGAGCTTCTCGTGTCTTTCTGTTGTCAAGTCTTGACTGATTTTTCTCAAGTAAAGGTCAGAATAACTGCAGTAATATTTCCAGATGAACACTTACTGGACTGAAGCAGCTCAGCTTTACTTGATTCTCCATCAATCTAGTCTGTCCATTTCCTGAAAATAAATCTGATCTATGATGTAATGATGAATAAAACCATTTTTTGATCACCCGAAGTTTATTGGTGTTGTTCTCTTATTCAAATTATAAAGTATATAACCTAACAAATTATTAATTAATTAGGTGAAGCTGTGCGCTTGAAATTGTCATCGCATCAACCTATGCAGTGTGGTGAATTATTATTGCTCATTATTGTCTATTTTAGTAATTTAATTAACATAGGCTATCTTAATACATTGATTAATGACATTGTATAATAATATTACACCACCCAAATATGCATTTACTTCCTTCTGATTCTCGTTGTCAGTGCAGGCCTGTTTAGCTCATATTGACCGTTATGAAAAGTGATTAGTGTACCCTGCATAAAAAAAGCCTTGAACATAAAACAACAGGACAAAAATATAGTTGATGATTAGACATAATAATTTCATGACTCTAGACACTTCTTTGTGAAGACAGTGGCATAAATACAGTGAAAATGTTCTTTCGCCATTTAAAAACAGTCGTCATGTGCATGGGTAAAATTTACCTGCTGGCAGTTCTAGTGTACCTCCTGAGACCCTGCATCCTCATATGAGGACATTACATTTTAGTGAATTTCTCTGAGACTATACATGCCACAGTTTTAAGCCTGGATGTCCTGACGTGCTTTGCGCACCTGTTTCTGGTTGTTGAGGTGCATCTCTCGGTCGGCCACCTCTCTGCGCAGACGGTCCACGTCTTGACTGAGCTGCAGTCGCTCCTCGCTCTCCACCGTCAGCTCGTCCAGCTGTTTGGACAGGTAGAAGTTCTGCCGGTTCAGCTCGGCGTTCTCCTGGGTCAGCTGGGTCAGCTGCTCCTCCAGGTCCGTGATCACCTGTGACGACACTCACGTCATTCAGCAGCAGCAGCATCCTAATCAATGAATGCTGATCATCCATCAAACGCATAAGAGTCATTCCACCGCAATCCCTCTCTATTCTGACACTGCGGGAATATTCCAGATTCACGAACACTGCAGCTACAGGAACTGAGTGAAATAGATGGAAATATCAGAGTGCATGTTTTGCTGAAGTGTTTTTTCTTTAATTGCTAATGTGATCTTTTTACACCACAGACTGAACAAAATTAAGCATTGCTTGGTAATTGCTTGAGCTAAATTGGTTTTATCTAATTGTGTTCTTAAATTTAACAGCTGACAACAGAATTCATTACATACCTTTCTATCAGTTATCTGACATCATCAAGATTAATTTGTTCTGACACAGTTCTTCTCATATTTTATTATCATTTTCTAAACTAGCCAATAAACTGTGATAATGTGAGGAATGTTGAAGGTGTCTGAATAAATTTTGGTTTGACTGTATATACTTTTAAATTATCTCTCACGTAAAGCATGAGACAGGTTCTGATGACTGTCTATTTGCGCTCTTCTTTCAGAATTTCGGCAAACGGAAGTGACCCTGAGTGACCTGATGGGGATTGATTTAGCTACTGATTTGAAAATTAACTTCGGAGAGAGAGAGAGAGAGAGAGAGAGAGAGAGAGAGACAAAGGGAGATATATATATATATATATATATATACACAGTATATACAGTATGTATATAAGTGTATAAGTATAAAGTAACACTCCCAAGACCAATCAGTACGCAGATCTCACAGTTACATCATCACTGGCAGAAATGCTGCATGTATTATTGAACTACCATAGAGCTGATAGATACAAAACAATGACCCTGAGAAAGCAAAAAGTGTGCCCTTTTCATATCCTTGCACATGGAAATTAGTTTTTGCTATGGCAACCCTCATAAAACTAAACAGAATCAATGTGTGGGTTTGTTTCTGATGACGTCACTACATTAACTCACCTATATTCGATTGTGAAGGACAAAGTGCATGTCAGCTATAACTATATAGCTATAGCTATAAATGACAGCACTGTCATTTTATATTCACATGACATCAAAACAGTACATTTTCATAAAATGTAGAGTTTATAATTATGACTTGAGGTAAAAAAAAACATTGCAAATTGCATTTTTTTAAATGAAATTAAATTAAAACCGCAAGCACATGAGACACGTGAGGCTGACGTTATGAGTGGACCGCGCTGCATCTGTTCTGTGTGAGGTCAGAGGATTCGAGCAGCTCGCTGATCTGAGGTCTGTGATCGGGGATAAATTAGATATTAAAGTGACAGCAACTTTCCCCAGTCTATATTGATTCTGTTGTGTGTCACGGCCAACAGAAGAAGATAGCCACTGTTTAGATCTCTGCTTTCTTCGGCTGTTCTAATCAATCATTTCTCTCCGAGCTCTTTATCTGATCCCTGAGGATCCTCAAGCTAAATGTAGAGGCTATCGAGCACAACACAGCACTGAAACCTTACAGTTTCAATCTGTTCTCGTCCTGTATGGAGCTTTAGATGCCATTTAATTTGAAGTGAATCAAAAGAAGGTTGAGAGAAACAGTTACGTAAGTAAATGTCCATCCAAGAGAACCATCATATTCAACCCTCCTGAGCAGTGCAGGGGATTGTGGGAAATCTTAGCGCAGATAAACTCACCGAGCAGCTGTCTCTGAGCGCGTCAAATTTGCGCTGAAGCTCATCTCTGTGGGCCTGCAGGAGAAGACAAACACATGATGCTCAGATGATGCTGTGTGTGTATCATACAGATATATCTGCTCATTATTTTACACTTTTAGCACTGAACTCAAGCTCATTGTACACCTGTAGAATTAAACAGGCTGTTTTTGGTTCTCTGTTGCTCCTACATGTAAATAATGCTCAGTAGACCCTCCCAAAAACATATCTACTGTATGTAAGACACAGTTCAGTGACAGCAGTGTGTAGTATGCTGTATGCAAGGGTTTCTCAAACTGGGGATAGTGCAGTTCATTGAGATCTGTAATAATGAATTAAACCATAAAAATAACATTTAAATAAAACATTTTTTTTTTATAAAAACCAAATAAAACACAAGATATAATAAATATAATAAATTTAGTGTTTACTTTTATGTAATACATATTTATATAATAAACATTTTATTTTTTACCTGGCTGCATGTTATGTACCTAGTATTATTTTAGCATCACTGATGCCCTGTTATAGTTTTATTAACATTTTGAATTTTTTTTTTCTTTTTCATTTGAGTTAAAGCTTTAGTAATTTTGTGAAAGTGATTTTTGTCATTTTTATTTGTTTTTGGTTTTTAATATATAGAAATATTAATCAATCTGTATTTCAGTTTTAGTTATTTTAGTACTGAAAGTTTCTTGCAGTTAACGTTTATTTTATTTTAAGCAACTTATTATGGTTTTAGTTTTTGTGAACCATAATAATGAAAATTATTGTTAAAATTATTTTTGAAATGATTCGCTGGAGCATGTTTATTTTATATAAATGTACATAAATATTTATAAATTAAATATTTTATTTGTTTACCTGCATGTCATGTGACCCAGTGTTACTATTATTCTGAATTAGTTTATTTTCCATTTTAATTTAAATTTAAAATTTGTAGTAATTTGTAACCCTGGAGCACAAAAGCAGTGTTAAGTCGCTGGGGTATATTTGTAGCAATAGCCAAAAATACATTGTATGGGTCAAAATTATTGATTTTCTTTTATGCCAAAAATCATTAGGATATTAAGTAAAGATCATGTTCCTTGAAGATATTTTGTAAATTTCCTGCCATAAATATATCAAAACTTAATTTTTGATTAGTAATATGCATTGCTAAGAACTTCATTTGGACAACTTTAAAGATGATTTTCTCAATATTTAGATTTTTTTGCACCCTCAGATTCCAGATTTTCAAATAGTTGTATCTCAGCCAAATATTGTCCGATCCTAACAAACCATACATCAATGGAAATATTATTTATTCAGCTTTCAGATGATGTATAAATCTCAATTTCAAGAAATTGACCCTTATGACTGGTTTTGTGGTCCAGAGTCACATTTTAGAACCTTTTAATCTAGTTTTTCTAGTTAATTTAGTACATCAAGTTAAACTATATGAAAATATATATATTGTTATGTTTTAGTTAATATTTATTTAAATGGTGCAAAATTAACCAACAGAGAACCAGGAACGTGTGAATGTGTTAAGTTACTGAAATAATATTTGACTTCAGTTATTTTATCTCAAAGGGCTTCGGCTGATTTAAGGGTTTGTATCCAGTGCTCTGCATGCGTCTCACTCTCAGCGCAGTGATCTCCTCCTCTGCTTCGGCTGTCGTCTCCTCCAGCTCGGTCTTGGCCTGCTGTAGCTGACTCTCGAGCGCGTGTCGCGCCGCCTGCAGGCTGCTGATCTGAGACTCTCTCTCCTGCAGTGAGAGCGTGAGATCCGTCACCTGACGCTTGATCTCCAGCTTCTGCTCCTCGTGCTCCAGACCCATCTGAAACACATACAGACTGTCAAGCATCATGTGTAATAACGGCACTACTACTGTGACACTGTCATGTCTCTCATATCACAATGAGCATTCGTTCACAGCTAATTCCTCACAGTCAGACTTTCAAACCAGCCCTGACCAATGCAAACTAGTCTGGTAACCACCAACAGGTTTGGAAGTCTTCTAGGATATTTTCTAACATTCACATTGAACCAGTAATTCTCACATTCAACACAAGTGATGCACCTAAGTTTCACCAAATAAAAATATATTATCCTTTTTTAATTAATTCCGACGAACACATTTTTTTTTTAGTCTGTGCTGTTTTCTGTTGATGCACAAACAAAACTTCACTAAACATTATTTGTAGAGTGCCTGCCATGCAATAATCGCAATAAGCTTTGATATGGTAGATATGAACCAAAGTCTCAGCACAAAAAAAATATTTACGCCTAAATTTAACATTTATGTATTTGAATTACATGTAAAATTTCTATGCATTTGGATTAACCAACTAAACTTAATGCAACGCATATTTGTCAGTCATACTGTACATTAATGAAACAGGTCAGATTTCTGTAACAGTACAACATGTTTTAAATACACAATAACTTGCTTTATATATTTATCAATAACAAATCCAATTTGTTTCAATAATTATATTATATATTATAATTATATTATAAATGTCTCATACATTTTATTTTAATATTGGCAGCCATAGTTTAACCATGTTCATAATTTTAAACCAAGCAATCTGAATAAACGCATTTTGAAAATATGATTATTTAAATCAAATCCAACAGATGCAGTTAGTTAATAATAAAGCATGTTTTTTAAGCGCAGAAATTGGACCTGCGTCAAATGGACATCACAAAGTTTATTAGTTTGTTAAAAATGTGTTATTCAAATGGATGGAAATTTTATATGCAATTCAAACACATAAATCTAAATATTAAAAAATATGTGTTTTGAGTGTGTTTAGATGCTTTTTTTAATGTGGCATGACTGATCACTGGAGCCATTCATGTATGCATGAAAAAATCTGTTTAATACCGCCACCATTTAAATGTTCACATTTTAACAATGATTTAGAGTAAACAATTCTATAACTAAAAAGTGCATGTAAAAACATCACTATATCGTGTAGTCGTATATTCTGTCCGATGCTCCTTGGCAGCTAGGGTTGGGTATCGTTTGGTTTTTTTTTCGATACTGGTGCCAAATCGATACGTTTAAAACGGTTCCGGTGCCTGAACCGATACTTATTAAAAAATTAAAAAATTAAAATTCCCCCAAAAATTATGGATTTGCCATTAGCACTATAAACACATGATGTCTGTTATTCATACTGGACGCCAGAGGGCGCCCTCGCACAGAAAATCCACATATCCAGTCACAGAAGTAGTGGAACTCATGACCCTCCAGGAAATCCCTTATATGGACAAAGGCATTGCTATTATAGCTGTAACTGAGACAATAAACCATCGACTGCGACAATATAGTTCATCTGTGTTATTCAAGCCATCTCTGGTATTTTCATAATAATTAAGTATATTTATAATCCATTGCTAATCGATGTATATTTTTTTGAAGTAGCCTATGGAACATATTTTCTGCCTCATTCTGTGACAAGAATCTACATTAGATCACAAAAGGAAGCATTTGACTGGTGTTGTGGAGTAAAAAGGTTATAATGTTCTCTTTTGTTGGACAACAGGTTTAGAAATGTGAATACAAGGGAGGTTTAGCTTTAGGCATTTTAATTTAAGCA